GGAAGCGCTCAGAGGTGAGGGAGAGTCGGCGCCCCAAGTTGGAGCCCTGAAAGCCCACGGGAGCGTGCAGGGGGGATCCGGTCGGAGCTGGGACACACCGTTCCAGATCCCCTTCTCCATGGCAGCCCCGGTCCGTGCCAACCCCCGGCGCAGCTGGGAACCCGCCGCGGGGCGGCGAGTTACTGGGCAACTCGGGATTCCGCGGAGTCTGCTCACTTTCGGAGCCGGCGGCCACCCTTTGTTTTGTGTCTGCGGCGGGGAGAGGAGCGCTGGAGGGCTGGGGCGTGGGATGGGGGTGGAGGGGTCCCCAGCCTGGGGGATTAAAGGAGAGGCTCGGCAGGGTGGGGGAGGTGGGGGAGAAGCCAGCCCCCAACTTCCCGTAGCCACAGGTAGCCTTGCAGAGCCTGGCTGCTGGCGTTTCTCCTGGAGAAGGACTTTCGGGGTCCCGTGGGCTGTAGTTGACCGTGGTTAAGGAAGCAGGTGTACGACTGAAGTCCTCGACCATTCTGGCCCCCAAATACCCCCTGGAAACTCACACAAGCGCAGCTATAGGTCGGTTGAATCATATGACTTGCTGCTTTGGTGACTAAGGGCTGGAGGTCTGCAGCTTCCCGTGATTCAAAGTGTGAAGTTGCTACTCGGTTTTTTTTTTCCTCACTCACTTGTAAGTTTGCAGTTTGAATATTCTTGGGGGTGCCTGACTGTCAGGGTGAGCCTAGGTCCAGTGGGGTTTACACAGGACCCACGCTGGGCAGCCAGCACAGGTCTGCAAGGCACGTGCCCAGGTGTGTTAGTCACTAGCTGGAACCCAGGGCTGCGGGCAGAAGGAGATGCCCAGTGCCAGCTGTCTCCTGGCAGAGCCCTGTGGTCTTGCTGGGCTCAGAAGCGGCTGCTGTGCGCCCTTTAGTCTTGCTGGCTGAGTGTATCCTGTATCCTGTATCTCTTTATGGACTTCCTTCTGTTTTCGCGCCAGACTGCTCCCATGCTCTAGTACAGTGACGCTCTGAAGGGTAGATCGAAAATAACAAAACTCGAAGCCAAGTGCTGTTGTGTTCGTACAGTTCAAATAGGAAGGAAACTGGTCTAGCAAGAGGCCAACAGCTCTCTGAGGATTTGGGGAGGGTCAGGTTGCTTCATCACGAATGACGGACGCCAACTCTGAGTCCCTTTAGCAGAAAAGAGACTGAGTGCCAAGTGGCTTAGGCACATGGCCGGCCTGCCAGGCCCAGGAGCCCAGGGGAGCCCTGATGGTGTGTGCCAGTGGGGTGTGTGGCTTCGGGCCCAGCCGAGCCCGAGGCCCAGCGCACCCCACTAACTCCACCCCACAGTTTGGGTGCTTCAGTTGGTCTCAACGAGAGCGAGGGCTGCTGCCCCAAGCTCACACCTCTCCCTGCCCCCAAATTTCCCAGATGACAAACACCCAGTAAGCGGGATCATCCTCCCGAGGAAGCCCACGGCACCTCTGGCCTGTACCCCAGTTCTGTGTGCATAAATAAATACATCTTAAAAAATAAGACATTTGGACCCTCCCTGGTGGCACAGCGGGTTGAAGCACAGCACTGAGAAGCTAAAGCCGCTTCCACATGAGTTCGATCCCCGCCTGCCCCGGAGGTGACCACAGGGCGCGGCAGACCTCTCCTGACCCGCCCGCTGCTCCCCTCAGCAGTGGACTTCGTCGATCTGCCTGTTCTGCTCCCCTCTCTGTCTCTGGTGAATCCTCTCACCCTCCGCATCTCTGGCCTGTACCCCAGTTCCATATGAATAAATAAATCTTAAAAAAAAAAATAAGACATTTGCATAAACATAAAAATACAGCTGTCAAAGGCTGTATTTTTCGAGGGCGGGAGTATTAGCAAAAAGAGGCGTCTGCAGACTCAGGTGGGCGGAGAGCACCTGGCTGGGGCAGTGGCCCTCAGATACTGCCAGGTGGTGTTTGGATCTGTGTGGTTTCCTTGGAGGGGGCAATTCATTGCTCTGTGGATTTTCTTGTAACGCTGGCAGGTCCATGCTCCCCCCCGCGGCCTGCACCTAGAGTCCTCCCCCAGCAGATTCAATGACTTGTTGATCAGTTCCGCCTCTACCTCCATTTGCTGGACGGTGAATCGTCCAGCCTAGGTTCTGTGCCCTAAGCTTCCATCCACTGTGTGCCAACGTCTGGAGGCGCAGAGATGAGTAAATGGAGCGTCCACGTGGCAGCTGGATGGAGACCTCAACACAGCAGGAGAGATTTGGGAGGGATTTGACCTGCAGTTGTGTTTGGGGAGCCAAACGTGTCTTTGGACAGGAACTGGCCGGCTGATGGCCTCCACAATAGCGCGGGGTCTCACAATTCAGTTGTCGTGAACCTCGGCCCAAGGGGAAGCGGGTTGAAAATGCACGTGAGGGTCCCCTTCGTGGATGGTCTACATCTCAGGTCTACACCCGACTTGTGCCGATGTAGCTGTTGGTCCCTGAGAGCCATCTGGGTGGTGAAGTCCACAGCACCTGTCACTCCAGCCCTTCTCCCCGCCTCTCAGGGCCAGCCCAGCCCGTCTCTGCTGGCGCCACTCCTGCAAACAGCCACACGGTGTTTCATAAGCAGTGGGTTTATGGCTGAAATGAATGCTCAGGTGTCAGGAGGACCTACGCTTTGGAGCCAGGTGTGAAGAACGCGGGCCCAACAGCTCTGGTGCCAACTCACGGATCCTTCCAGTTCCTTCCATCCGCAATGGGAGGGTGCGAGGAGAAGTCAGAGGCAGTGCTTTTGTCATTTGAAATTTGCATTTGTAGTTTGCTTAGGAACTTCCCCTTCTTGCCTTTCACGAGGACGTTTGAGCGGGCTTGTGCACAGCCCTCCCAGGGGCCTGGGCCCCTCTTCTGCTGTGTTCAGCCAGGAAGTCAGCCTAATCCCTGAGCCTCTAATCCCTCCAGCTTCTGCGCTCCCGGCCTGTCCTCTAGCAGAAAACTGAGATCAGAGGTGAGCGTGGTTCCAGGGAGAGTGTGGGTGGTGGGTATTGTATGTGTTTGTGAATATGGTGCGTGCACTCACATGTATGTTGTGCTGTGTGTTGTGTGCGATGTGAATACAGCGAGGGTGGCATGTACGGATCTGTATACAGCGAGGGGCTCAAGGTTTCCAGTGTAGTAGTCTCATAGTAAGGTTTCACAGTGTGTGATGAATGCGCATGTGTGTGTCCTTACATGTGTGGCATGTACAAGTGTGTGGTGTGAGTCCATGGTGCGCGTTTGCATGGTGTGCAGTTGTGGGCGGTGTGTGCATGGCAGCTCGTGTCTGCTTTGTGTGCATGGTGCGGTGTGGGTGTGTGCTGACGGGACAGTAGTCTCATCCTACCCGGGTAAGCAGCGGCTCCTTTCCTACCCTCCTCTTACCCTGGCGTCTTCGTGGAGGGACCTTGCCAAAGCTAACGAGCTCTGCTTCCTTCTCGTTTGTCCTCTCTGGAGAGGACGTGAAGACTGAGCACAGCAGGCTGTGTTTGGATGTGCGCAGGGGTAATTTCCTGCTAGAGCCACTGAAAGCCTAGAGCATTCCAGAGCCCAGGCCAGGTTGGCACAGAGACCGTGGCTGGCGGGGGGACGGCACTTTGCACGTGGTCACCAGGTTCCATGTGGGTGAGATGGGGCTCTGGCACGGGAGCTGGGGGGATCCAGGTCCCCCGATTTGATAAGGGTCCTCCTGCAGGCGGCTCTGTGCAGGAGTAAGGGGGTGAGTTGCACTTGGGAGACCAGGCAGGGCGCAAGGGCTCATTGCAAGTGAGGTCTCCACTCAGAGTCTCGCCGCTGGCCTGGGCTCGCTGACCTGTGCAAGGGAGGCCGTGGACCCTGAGCCTCTAGTACATGGTGGCACTTTCTTGATGCCCCCCGACTTCCCGCTGCACCGTGTGGGTTTCAGAAGCACCTGTCCTTAATTTAGGTTGGTGTGTGTCCACCATACCAGATACAATCGGGGTGTCCTAATGCTGGAATAGAGAGAGCAGGAGCAGGTCTCCCAGCTCCCTGGTGGGCTCTGTCTGAGCCAGCGAGCCCCATGCAGCGGCTGGCCTCAGCGAAGCAGTCCTCTCGTCTCCTCAGGTTACATCACGAGAGGTCTCTGGCCCCGGCCCTGTCTTAGCCACGGGGTTGGGAGCTGTGCTGGTCCTGTTTCTCTCTCCTTCTGCCCCTCCTCGCCTCTCCTGGGTCCCTAGGTGTCCAGGCACTGACACTTTGGGGTGAAAGATCCCCAGTGAGCTGTCAGAAAGATGCTCCCGTGTCAGGGCCTTAGCGAGTTTGGTTCCTCTCTTGATACTCTGCACTTGGGGATGCTTGGAATAAGACCAGTGAGCAAGTAAGCACCAGGGCAGTGTGAGAGACAGCCCGAGCTCACCCTTGCAGGACCTGCGAGCTGCTGTGAGCCCCCTGGAGGGGGCTGGGCAGAGGCCTCTGGGTGTCCCCGTGGTCCTGAAGGCCGGCGACTGGGCTTGCGTTCTGTGTGTCGACGGGCGAGTGTCAGAATCCTCTCTGCGCCGGCTTTCTCGCTGGACAAGGGGCTCATGCCCACAGCTAGCTCCCCGGTAATGCACGTGGGCCATTACCTGGGCTCCAGAAAGCGCTCTCTCCACCTTCCTTTCCAGACCGCACAGCCTTCTGGGTACCACCTGTGCCTGCTGTGTGCTGTGCCTGGTCTGTGCAGTGAGTCTGGTCCTCAGAGGAGGGCCCTCCTGGCTCAGGTCCTGGGGCGCTGCAGCCGCCCCCCCAGCACTGGGTTAGGCTCAGGGCTGCTCTTCAAGCCTCCGGGCTCCTGTCCAGCTCTGGGTGCCCACAGCTGCCCGCCGTACTGACCACTGCCCCTTCTCTCCCTGCCAGGGATGGTGCCTTGAGCGGCTGAGCTCCAGGAGAAGACAGCCCCTCGCCACGGGAGCCTCAGCTGAGCCAGCCCTCGCCGTGCCTCCACTGTCTCCAGAGAGGCTTCCTCTGAGGAGGGTGGCCTCCCCTCTCTACCTCATGTCAGGGCGCTGGTGCTAACCATGGGCCTGTGGCAGCTGAACCTTGGCTGCCTGTTGCTGCTGGGGCTGGCGGCCTGCACCGCTTCGCAGGGGCCCGAGAGCCTGGAGTTTGGCCTGCCTGCCTCCCACTATGAGACGGAGACCACGCGCGAGCCCCTGGCCTTGCGCCTGCTCTACGGGATGGCCCGCAACTTCCTGCACGTGGTCCTGCCCCGGCCTTTCCCAGAAGGTAAGTGCCCGCCGGGAGGCCTCAGGCCACCTAGGAAAAGGGGAAGTTCCGGGGTCCCTGCCCCACCCAGGAGGAGGGTGGAGCTGAGCAGAGAGAGAGAGAGAAGAGAGGGAATCTAGAGAAAAGAAGGAAGCAGGATGGAGAGCCAGAAGGAGACCTGAGGAAGCCACAGGGAGCAGCGAGCATGTGAGGGAGAAACTGGGCTTGTGTCCTGGCCCTGGACTGGTTAAGGCAGATGTGGGTGAGAGACCTGTCGGGAGGTGACTATGGCAGTGTTCATGTTGATTTTGATGTTGCTCTTTTCCTCCCAGACTTGTCTGGCCATTGCTGACCCTTTTCCATGGGTCCCGGCCAGAAGGTGCTTTAGTCTCGTGGCGGCTTTCAGGCCTTGCTCTGGGCCAGTCCCTTTTGGGTGGACTTTTGCCCACAAGGGGATGGGTCACTTCAGGTGTTTGATTTAGAAGTTACATTCTCTGTGTCCCGTATTGTATATTCACTGTATTAAAGTCCCTTTGCATTCAAGGTTTTTATGTTTTGTCTTGACGCGGCGGATGGCAGAACCCACTTAGAACAGGCAGGTTTGGGGCTTCAGGGGTGCCCCTCGCTCCCTGTCCTGTAACAGAAGCATGGTCTGGGCCAAGCAGTTTGTCAGGAAGGTGGTGATAGGGAATGGTCACACTCTGGTGTAGATGTTGGTTTTCCAGTGTTTGAATCTTCCTTCTCTTTCTCCCCTTTCCGCCTCCTCCTCCTCTTGCAATAATTATTCTCAAATACATACAAAAGATAAATATTTGGACAAAAATATGGTTGACATTGGCTACAAGATGAAGGTTTTAAAATGCAAATGGTCTGTCTGGAAATGAGGCCCAGCTAATGACCTCCCACGGCCAGGCTGCTCTGGCTTGACTTTTTAACTCTCCTTCACCGCCAGAAAAGGCGATTTGACATTGCTTAGGGCAAGGACAGGCCCCAAGTAGCCTGCTTACCTGAGTAACTGCTACTTAACTGTAGTGCCGGGAGCTTGGTGGGGGAGGGGCGGGAGGGGATCACCTGTCAGGACTTTATGCCTCTGCTCCAGCCCTGGCAGGGAGCTGGCTTCCCGCTCTGCTTCCCTGTCTCCATGCTCCCTGCGCCTTCTGGAGATGTTTTCTTGAATGGGGTGTTGAGACCTGAAACAGATCCCTAGGAAGGGCCCACTGTGAGGCTTAGCAACCTGTGCTTCTGATCGCCTTGTTGTTGAATTGAGGTACCACAGCACATGATGTGTGCTGGGACCAACCCTCCAGTGCGCTTTTATTATCTCACTGCTACAACAACCCTAAGCTTGTTCATTTGATCTTGTTCATTTAACAACAAAGATTTGAATCTTGTCACTGATCACTCAAATCTGGAAAAACAGTAATGTTTATAAGCTTCCCTCACTGGCAGCTGTTATTCATAAGAGGTTCGTGTGAGAGAGAGAGAGAGAACTGTAGGCTTATTTATTGTATTATGATATTATGGGCAATTTATACATTTTCATAAAATAATTCATGCTGAATATTGATTGACTGTTTGGTCTTTCATTAAGGCATGGAAAAATCTGAAGTGCTGTTTTTTGGTAGTTCAAATGTCAGTTCAATGAAATAAACACCCTGTGGCCCTCTTATCTCTGAGGCGAGTCCTCCGTGAATGCTGGCTACTGTTTATGTCGGGACGCAGAAAAACTAGAAATCCACAGGACAGCACAAATAAACTGAGGTCATTTCTTAATGTTGAATACCGCTCCCTGTTACCAACAGATCGTTCTCTGTTTATTTGTAGGTCTTGACAGAAAAAATCACTGAGTAAATGTGCTCAATAGTGTTGCTAGTATTGATGCTTTGTTTTGTTTTTTATGTAAAAGACTTAGAATTCGGTCTTCTCATATGGATTTACTTGGACTTCTTCCAGAAGATTGTGGACACCCATGTTCTGCTCTAAGACATGTGTCATTGGTTAATCCCATAATCTCTCCCCATATGTCGGTTTATCTTGCTCCTTTCAGATTGCAGAGGAAGGCTGCTCCAAGCTTATTTTACAAGCAAAGGAAGTGTCTTGGGAAACCTTCCTTTCCATGATAAGGTCAGAGGACACCCTCAGATGGGCAGGAGCCCTGAGTCCACTCGATGACTCCACTCCAGTATCATCAGTCTAGAAGGAGGTGTCTGGAGAATGTCAGTCCTTTGGAACCGGGGGTGTCCGACTGCACGTCCCTGGAACTTCATCTGTGCTTATGACTTTAGGGCAAGAAATTCCCCGATGGTTCAACAATAGACCAGAGCAGACGAGCAGTGGTGTCCTTTCCAACGTAAATGATTAGCGACTTAAAGAATATGACATTAAATGTCATGACGTGACCTGCTAGCATGTGGATTTTCTTGCACGTTGCCATGATTTGTATTCTTCGTGTTACTAGATGTCACAGTTAGCCTCAGAGTGTCTGATCGGTGCTTTGCAGCATCCAGGGCTATTTGAGGCCATTGTGCTCTTTCCATGCGGGGGAGCCCATTTCACGAGAGCGGAGTCATAGACAGACATCTTCCTAAGCGGCAATCCCTCCGCCCCCCTCACACACACACTGAGCAAGAGAGAATTGGAGAGGTGGATTCCCATTTATTACCTCAGCTAGCAATGCACTAACTTGCACAGAAGACTTCAGCTCTGTGGAACAGTAACTTCACAGCAGGTGCAGTCAGGCACACCCCAGAACCAGAAGACATTCATTCGGCAGAATAGAGGTGACGTGAATGCAGGGTCCATGCCGGGGCAGGAGAGGAAGGAGGCGGGCTGAAGCCTGGGCTGCCTCTTCTGTGCCCTGGACTGGGGAATTTTTCATTTTCATACCCCATGCCCAGTTAAAGCGGTCTGCCAAATTTTGCAGTTGAAATGTTTCAAAGAGGTGCCATATTGTACCCCTATGATACAGGATGGAGAGGTCTTTGTTTAGCCTGGACTTGAGACAAAGCCCTACCTCCCGGGCAGAAGGAAGACTTGGCCTAGCTTAGACTGTCACACCGCGCAGGAACCCTGGCACCTGCGAGGGTATGTGGGAAAGGCCTCCCCCTCCGCACAGTGGAAACTGTCATCTCGGCACCAGCGCGTTTCGTTGTAGGTTGCTTGGTGTGATGGTGGCGACCCGTGCCTATATGAACCCCACGTAAGTCCTGAGCCAGGTCGGAGCCAGTCTCACGGAGCCAGCAGAGCGGGGAAGTAGTCTCTTCTGTTTCCATTTTCTTAGACATTCTGTAAAATTATTTCCCATCCTGTTTTGGTACATTTTTAAATTAGATTTTAGGGTGGTTGACCTATTTCTAACAGCATTTGAGGCTAATCTGATTTACTTCTGGAATCCAGCAGAGGTGGGCTAAATGGGAAGAAGAAAGAGTTAAGCTTGGTTTCTGCAGAATGAGAGAGGCCTCAGGGTGCTCGAGCCAGGAAGCACCATCTGCTGCAGGTGGCAGAAACCTATAGCTAAAGAAATGGGGTGCAGCGTTGGGGGCAGGACCTTATCGCCAGGCCTCGGGCGATGCCCAGTGCAGGTCACCTCCAGGGACAGGGCGCCTCCCCGGGCTCTCCTTGCCGTGCTCTGAATGTCACCATGTCATCTCTCCTCCCCAGCCTCTGGTGCAGCCCCCCATTTCCACAGTCCTCTGGGTGAGAACCAGGCTGCTGACGCCCAGCTCTCAGGCCGGCTTCCTGCACAGGGCTGGGCGTTCTTTCTCTTTGAGTTCCACACAGTCACTCCAACGACAGGCCAGCGAGGGTGACTGGCCCCTGGCCTGGGCCATGACTGCCCTGGGGCACCCAGCAGGGAGGTGCTTCTCCTGAAAGGGGTGGCCCTGGAGCACCACCTAAAATCAGGTTGCTGTTTTCTCTCCAGCAGCTGGAGTTCCCACCTAATCCAGACAAAACCAGTGTGGCCCCTTTCGGTAACGACAATGGGCCTGGCCCCTAAGGAAAGTCTTGCCGGAAAAGGACGAATATTTGCGGCCCTCCCGCCCCATGTCACCCCTCTGCACAGCCGCCCACAGCTGCCACCTCTCTCGTGGGAACATTCAGCTCTGGTGCCCACTCAGGCCGAGACGCAGCCCCTGGGGGCTGCTGCTGTCCTTGTGCAGACGGAGGGGCTGCGGTCCACAGCCCTGGCTTGGCCAGGCCGCACGGCTCACCAGAGCAGAGGTTCCAATCCAGGCAGCTTGGTATTGGAGCCCATGCTCATGGTGGCCGCTTTAACTTGGCGGATAAGAAAAAAAGCTAAAAAAATCAATCACCTAAACCAGGAGTTAAATTGCGGCCCAGGAGCCAAAGGCAACCAACCACCTAGTTTCATAAATCAAGTTTCCATGGACCAGGGAGATCGAGGGAGGTCGAGGGACTGTCCCAAGGTCCCACATCCTGTGAGCACTAAGTGGCCAGGCTGGAGTTTGGCCCAGGCAGGGCCGGCGACATCCAATGCCCTGCATTGCCCCTGCCATGACCCGCTGTGCAGATGGCGTTGGGTGTCCCCAGCGGCCACAGCCTGCGGGTGGGCGTGGGTGGCAGTGACACGTGTGCAGATGGTAATGTGCACGCCTTCTCATGGTCCACTTTCTTGAAGCCTAACTGAAAAACTCGTCTTGTTGATGATGCTCCCCTAATGGTCTCCAAAGTCCCCCTGCAGTGAGCTCCTGTCTTTCCATCAGTCAGCAGCAGAGGCAGGCTGCGGATTCTGGGAAAGGTCAGGACCTGTGGAAGATGCAAGAAGCGAAGCGTTGTGGCCTCTGGCCTCCAGCCACCAAGTCCTTTCAGGGGGCCTCAAGCCGACTCGGGAAGCGACTGTCAGGAAAGTGCATCCCAGGAGGGATCCCCTACTGTAAATAGGTTGAGCAAAAGAAGCACCCCCAAGTCTGTGCTTGTGGGAGCAGCCGTCAGGCCGCCTGTGCAGGGCAGCACTGGCCAGAACCCGAGAGCAGGCTGGGCTCACCAGGACCCACGGCCCA